CTCCCTGTCTGTGACATCGCGTGTCACAGAAAAAGTAAAAAACCAAACAAAACAAAAAAACAAAACAAAAACAAACCCCACAAAATGAGATGGGACTTTTTCAAAGCCTGAAATAGGTCAGGTCTCGGCTGCCTCTTAACAAAACCAACCAGAGACAAGCAACTTCCTTAGATCCAAAAGCTTTTTTAAGAGTTTGGTAACGAGCTGTCGCAGTCGATCACTTAATTAGTTCCACACAGGAGAATCACCTCACGCTCTGAAAAGTGTCTTTAGGTCTCTGCTCTTTGCAGACGCTTTGAACACACTGTGTATTCTGTCCTCGGCGAACTCCACGCGTGCGTGTATGTCCACGTGTACCTATGAGTCATACACGTGTGAGCATGTGCAAATGTGTGAAGGTGTGTATGTGAGTGAGTGTGTTTCCCATGAGACACTAGGCTCTCTCAGGAGCTTTGTCAGAACACTTAACGGCATACGCTTTGGACTCGCGGCTCAAGGGTGAAATCCAGATGCTGCCGCTCTCCAGCTGTGCTACCTGTCACAGGTCGCTTCACCCGTCTGGTTTCTTCACCTGTGAACGGAGGTAACAGCGCTGCCCATCTCGCCAGGCAGCCGTGAGAGAGAACGCGGGAGGCGGTTTGTCCCACGCCTGATAGAAAAGTTCTCAGCAGGAAAAAACAGATGTCACATGGGCTCTCTCTTCCCTTCACGGTTCCTGGAGGAGTCGTGGGCTTCGTTTTCGTGTTTTGAGAGGACACGGCTGTTCCGTCGGTGTTGTGGATTCTCTGCCTCACGGCAGCATGTGGATTCTTGTCTCAGAGAAGCCATCCACTCTCTCTGTCGTGGGAGAGGGACCTCTCCCGGTTCCGTCTGGCCCACTTCCCATCTGGTGGCCCAGGTGCACACGGCACACAACTCCGCAACGCTCACACCAGAGCTGTCTGTGTGGAGAAGGGGGCTCCACCTCCCTCCACGCCATCCGGTCCAAGGCTCAGCGTCCTCCACAGATGCAGAGGAAGGAAGCCAAGCCAAAGGAATGCAACGGACTCTGGGTCCAACGGATCCGTTTATTTCAAAATGACTTTGAATTCCACGGAGTAGCCTCTTAAATTCCCACGTGTTGCCCTCAGAAGCAGGAAGACAGGGACGGAGGAGCACATGGCCTTTCCACTGGAGGGTCCATGGCAGTGACGCTTTGGGGAAACCCTTCCCCGTAGGGAATGCCCTCCCTCTGGCTGCTCACGGCAGTCACTCTCCAGCTCCCTCCCACCCCTTCAAATTCCGTCTTCTAAACGCCCTTTGTGGGGACGTGTCATATTTAGAAAGCCGATTGGTCGGTTACGGTTTCAGAATTGTTTACTTATATATTCAGCAAATTCCATGTAACATCTTCCACGTGGTAGACTCTGAGCTCAAAACTGGGAGGAGAGGGTCGTTTAAGATACTGTCCCTGGTTTCAAAGTGTTCACTGTTCGGTCGAGGAGAAAGATAAGCAGATTCGTGATTTCAGGGTGGTGCAGTCACCGCCAGGATGGATGTGGAAGCCGGGGATGGATGGGATGGCGGGAGAACTGGAGTAACCCATCAGGGTCGCGGAGCGTGGAAGGGGCGGAGCCAAGATGTGAGCCCGGTTTCTATGACTACGAAACCCATGTGCTCACACACCAAGGTAGATGCTTCTTTACATAGATTTTGACGGAGAACTAAAAAATGATACTTAGATTCTGAGATGAAAGTAATTCTACGATCATATAAATGTGGGTTACGTCTGAAAATTTTTAAATTATACATTAATTTTTAAAAATGACATTTTATAGTTAATAATAGTGATACGAAGCAGGCTAATAGAGTGGCGCAGGCTAAAACATACAACCAGAGAGAAAAGTTTTGTTTACGGCGTGTCTGTAACGTCAGCATCAAACCGCACGAACGGGGTCCTCAGAGTTTTTTCTGTCGGTCAGGATTCCGTCAGGCTGCACGTAACGGAAAGTGGACTGCAGTAGTTTCCAGAAGGGCCGAAGCGGCAGTTCAGGTCGCAAGTGGCAGGTCAGGGCTGGTGTGTAGCCATCCAGAGGCCTCTTCCAGCTTCCCGGCCCACCATTCTCGCCATGCGGTTTGCATCCTTGCGGCCGCAAACTGGCCGCTTCCAACTCCGGGTATTGCATCTACCTGCAAGTCTAAGGAACGGGGACCAGGCGCAGGGCACGAGTTGCCTGCCGGCTGAGCTTGGCCTTTTTCATTAGAAAAACAGCCCCATCGCCCTGCACTTTCCGCTCATTGTCCCCTGCTGGGTAATACAAGCACCTTGAGCTGTAAGGACTTTGGAAAAGAAGGAAGAAAATGCATATGAGTGGGCAGCCAGCACGGTCTGCCACTTTCCCTTAAAGTAGATGAACCATTTGCTTAAACTCCTGTTCAAACCGTTTGTTCTCTTACAAACCTCG